ATGCATTACAAAATGACATAAAATTAAATACAGAAAGTTCACAGCAACAGTCCGGAGGTCTGAGAAGAAATCCTGAAATGGGAATTAGGCCATGTCAAAAAAGCAGCACTGCTTTTTCACAGCAATTGTTTGAAAATGTTTCTTTTTAATATTTTTTTTTTTTCAGCCTGATTCTGGCATTCCCAGAAATGTGGAAATTCCACATTCCTGCCGGATTTGGTGACATCTTTTATATCTACCCGCAACGCTTTCCTAAATTTCCTCTCTGGGCAGCCGAGGCCAGCGGGTGCTGATGCCAGCACCATCCCCGCTGTGTCCTTAGTACGTGCAGCCTCGTGGAGAAGCAGCTGCTCGACAAAGCCTGCCTGGATCCGGCCGCTTGTGCAGCAGAGCACTGGTCTGCATCGCCCCACTGCCGCGGTGCCGACCCGGATCCGTGGGGCACATCCCCTGCTCACAGCTCCCAAATGGGAAGAACTGACCTCCCCTCCATGCTTGCTGCTTTTACCTCGAAGCCCCAGTGGTTGGCCTTGTGTGTTGGTGAATAAATGACTATTTTTTCCTTCTTTAATGATAAATATTGTCCAGGGGAGGGGGAAGCTGAACGTGAGGCATCCCGTCCTGTCCCACCGTGATACTCCGAGGCCAAAAAGACACAGCTTTGTTGCTCAGCTTTGCCTCCCGAGATGGAAAGGTCACGGCTGGCTATTCAGCATGCCCCTGCATTAAATGGTGGGACACAAATAGCTGACCCACCCTGGCCCCACCTGCCCCTTCAAAGTCCTGCCCGAGATTATGGGAAATAAATGCTGCTGGCTCTTGTTCCTCTCCTCTCAGGGAGCCTCTCCCTGCCCCTTTCCCATAGCCCAATGCTCTCTTCCCGCTGCGGATAACCCTCCCCGTGTCGTTCCCCCACCGAGTGGGGCTGGGGCTATGGGGCCAGCGTGGGGTGTGCAGACCCATGTGGGTCTGTGGGGGCTGAGCCTGCCGGTCTTCTGGGTATCAGGGAGCAGGAGCGCCTAACTGGGCTGATAAGAGTTTAATTACCAATGCAAAAGGCGTTGTTGCATGGGGGGGAGCCTTGCTGTGAATCTTGGGAGGCCTTTGAAGTTGTGATGGAGAGGAACTGAAGCCCAAGGGAACAGGGCTGCTCCCACTGACCCTTCCTCCTCACGCCTGCGCTACAAAGCCCCTGCCTGGGAGGGAGATGACAGAGTAATTAGAGTGAGGACTGCAGTGGGTTAACAATTAGCAAGGGAGCTCAGAGCCCTCTTTCGTCCCCCACTGCTCTTCTAGAGGCTGGGGCTCAGCGCATCCCCCAGCGTATCACCGCCGGGCTTGTCCCACCACCCCACCATGCACCCCTGGGCAGGTCGAGGGTCCACAGGCTCCCCTGGGCTGGGCAGCCGTGGCTCCCATGGCACTGCTCCTGAGCCTGGGATGCTTGGATGTGGGACCCCAAGGCACCTGCGACTCTGTTTGTGGGGATGTAATACACCCCTGAAGGAGCCACAGTCACCAGCACAAATATTGGGAAGGGTTTCTGAGTGCTCACTCTTTATACAGCACAAGAGATACATGAACCCAGGCAAAATGTACATCCCTAGATGCTGGTTCCTGCCTCAGCTTCCTCACTCATCTCAAGCACTGTTTAGAATTTGGTAGATATGGGTACAGATATGGATACAGATACAGATACGGGTACGGATATAGATATAGATATAAAAATAAAGATGTAGGTATAAACTATACCTATACATCATATACAAATGCATATACATACACCTAGTCTTCGACTCCTGCATAATCTGCATGTACGAGATTGCAATGTGCACTACGCACGCAACATTACATGATGCAACTTTATAAAGGAGCAAGTAGGTCTGCCCTGCGTGAGACTGGCTCAAGACCCCAGCTGGCACTGGGGAAGCGACCTGCTCACTCCTAGGTGCTTCCATTTGAACGGGCAATCAGGCTTGACAGCTTTTCCACCAGTGCGAGAATTTCCCCTGGCACCTCCTGGTGTTTTGGCTCAATACACCGAGCCAAGGCCAAGGCACAGAATAGGGAAAATACAAAATGGTGCTCAGGAAAACAAAATGGAGCTCACAGTTTGAGACTGATGCGTGCAGACAGTCCATAACATCAAACAGAATTGCCCAGCTGTAGAAGAGAGGTCTCCCAAACTGACACATTTTCTGAGAAACATTTCAGCTGAAAGGGGTCCTTTGTGGCCCTCTCGCTTGCCCTCCGGCATCAAGGGTGGGCTTTTTCTGAGCATCGCCCCCGGAGAAGCGATGCAGTCGGGAAATCACCTGCAAGAGGCTGGACGGGGCACTTGTCGCATGCGATGCGGCGGGTTCCCCTCGGCATTGGTCTGTAACCTTTCCCTGAAATGGACGGTTGGGTTTCGGGAGAGTATTGGCCTCCCCATATCTGAGCACAGCATGTAATAGTGCTGCTAGTTGGATGCTCAGATCCACAGATGTGTGCTCTACCGTGAGTTAACACAAGAGCTCTTGGACACGCAGTGCCTTTATATTTGTGCAATGCCCACTGCAGTGGGCTTAATGCGTGGGACTCCTATGCACTTGGCTGAAATGCATGTTAAGGAATAAAAGAAATAACTTAGCCCACTTCCCGCAAAGAGGCACAAGCAATCTGCTCCACGGGTGTGTTGCAGAGAATGCAAGCTTGTCCAGTTATTTGTGCACCAAAGCACCCTCAAGGAGACAGCTCCTTCATCTATATGGAGTTGGGTGACAACCATATGGTGCACATGGTGGGATGGGGTGTAGCAAGCTGGCTCCAGGTCCCACACGCTGCTGTGCAGACAAGCCTGGGGAACGTCCCACCGTGGGGCTGCCTGCTCTGATCTCAGCATCATTCCCCACGGTGCGATGCTCCAGCTGGACCCCACCTCGTGCTGCCTGGAGAGCAGCGAGAGGCAGCCGTGTCCATTGCTGAGCATCTCAGCGTGGGAAAGAAGGTGCAGAGACCACAGCAGGGGGGAGAGAGGGTCTGTGAAAGCGGTCCCCTCCCTGCAGCCTGCCTGCTGAGGGTCACCGGGACCGTGCTCCTGCACTGTGAGCAGTGAAACTCCTGAGCCCGGGCTCCTGCTGGGTGAATTACCCAGGGAAAATAGGCAGAAAATCTTCAGATTAACAATAACAAATAAAAATGGATTTGAGATCTCCGAGGTAATTACTCCGTGCTGAGGGCAAGGGGCCTCTTTAGCGGTGGGAGCAGCACCGTGCGGGGAGTGGAGGGGCTCAGCCTGCTGTTGGGCCAATGGAGTCACACAAGAAACCCTGTAAATTCTTTCAAATTGTTCTGCTAACATTAATAAATGCCTCAAAAGCTCCTAATCTGCTCTGTCAGGAGCATGACGTCCGGGCGTTTCACAGCCAGCTCACGTCTCTGCTGCTCTCTCCCCCCTCCCCTCCTTCCCTGCCTGGTAATAGTAAATGAAAGTGGCACCCGTTCCTCTGGCTGCTGGGACCAGCGTCATGCTGAGCCCAGACTCTGCTGGGGCTGGAGCCACTGTCCCGACGTGCCCCGTCCCTGCCGCAACAAGCTGGTGCCTTGTACTGCGACCACCGTCCTGCCAGAGCCCAGGGACCAGCCAAGACCTGGTGCTGCAGCAGGGATGCTGCGCCATCCTTGCCTCGAGGTCCAGTTTGATGCTGCTGGAGGGTGAGGAAAAGCAGCCAGCATGGGCACAGCACCCAGTGTGGGCTTGACCTTACTGGGTGGCTGCAGGGCAAAGAGCTCTGGGGAAAGCTGGAGGCACTGGAGGTCCCTGAGGGAGCCTGGTGCTGATGAGGGGTGGACAAGGCATGGGCGCCCTGGTGTCGGTGCCCACTGCACTCACTCCCAAGGGCCAGGGTACCTTGCTGACACCCTCTCCCAAGCCTCCATCCCTCTGGATCTGTACCCCAGAGCTGGGGCTTGGGCTTCTTCCCCAGGTGTTGAGCAAGTCAGGGGGTTATCAGGCAGCGGCAAGGCACTCCTCTGCCTGGTGCTGCAGGATCTGGTTGTGGGGCTCATGGGCAGCAGATGACACTCAGGGGCAGCTCACCCTGTGCATGCAGCAATGCCATGGTACCCCGCTTCTCCCCCCCCCCCACTGACACTGCACAGGTGTGCAGTGACACTACACAGGAACCTCCTGAGCACGTTCAAAGGCATCCTCGCCTCTCCCCCCACAGAAGCTACTCCCCTCTCCTTGCAGATTTGCCCGTGTCTCCTCCCTGAGCCGGGCTCCCAGTGGTGGCAGGGCCTTTGAAGGGTTGGCTTTGATGGGCCTCCTCATGCAGCCTGTCCCCCACGGTCTGGCCTCTCCAGCGGGGTGTCAGGCAGGACCATGGGAGGTCACTTTGTGCTGGAGCCAGGCACCGCGGTGTGTAATTACAGCAGCTGTTGGAGTGCAGACTTCAAACCGGTGATGCTGGGCAGGATGTGAGCCTAAAGGGCTTGGCAGAGCCTCTGGAGGAGAAGTGTCAAAGCGAGGAACAATGCTCCGGTTGCACTGGTGTTGGCCCAGGGTGGGACTGGTGGACAACCTGATGCTTGGGGTTTGTTTCCCCAGTTCCCCCTTGCTTTGCATCCCTTCTGACCTGCTCTGCATCCCCTCCAACATGCTGTTCACAGCCCCCTCTCCTCCAAAAGGACGTGTTGCTCTCAGTCCTATGGCAAGGACTGATACAGCCCCACGCCAACTCTACCCCGAACCAACAGCTCTGGGGAGCATCATTTGTTGCCATCCCCTCATTCCATATCTGCCTCAGCTGCAGCCAGGCAGGTCCCTGGCAGCAGCCCCATGGATTGATGGGCGCAGGGGACAATCAAGCCAGTGGGGTGCGAGGAGGGATCGTTTGTGGTGGCTCTGTTCCTCGCCCCTTGGGGACGGGGAGAAAGCTTTCTAACACAGCGTTTTGCTCCTGTGTTTTCCAGTGAACTTGCTAGACACGTCAACAATCCCGGGGGACTGGGGCTGGATGACTTATCCCTCGCACGGGGTAAGTATGAAGCGGCTGTTGGCACATAGGGGACCCCAGTGGGATGGGTCACCATGGGTCCCTGTGGGCAGGGTGGATGGACATCTCAGCCCCAGGTTGGTGCCTTGGTCAGTGCTGATGGGGCAAAGAGACCATGTCTGTTGGGAAAATGCCAGCCTGAAAGACTAGCAGTGGGATGCTGCTGCTTTGGAAACACCGTTTAACTCTCCTTGTCGCCTGGTAGGGACCAGGCTGTCACCATGTCCTGAGCTTTGAGGGAACTCAAGAGCTGGGTTGCCCGATGGGCACTCATGCTGAGAAGCATCTAATTCCTTGCTGCACCAGGGGAGTGTCAGGAAGAACAGCCCAAAATGATGGGGAAGCTTTCAACCACCTGTAATCAACCGCCAAGTCTGCTGTGGGAACTGGGCAAGAGGGGCAGGGGAGCATCCCCTGCAGATGTTTTTTTACGGGGAATGGGGATGTAAACGCACAGCCCTGCAGTGTGGCCAGGAGAGATGTAGGGGTGGTGACCCCCATGTGAGCTTGCCATCTCTACTGGCTGGATTCCCTCCGCACGCTCTCTTCACTTGCATTTCCATGTCCAGGTTTTCCTGCTGCAGCAGCTTTCTGGAAATTGTGAGTTTCAGATGGCAGCGGTGATCTGGCTGGAAGGATTTTGCTCATTCATTTAGTGAACAGAAACAATCCCATAAATACACACAGGACCAACTGCAAAGCACGGTGGGGCTTGGTGCATGCACAAAATGTGCAAAATTGGGTGCCTACCTGGCTTTCGTTGCTGTGTTGATTTTTCATGTCCACTCTTTTTCATCCCCTCTCTGAACTAAACGGTCCTAATCTTTTCAATTCCGCCTCCTACAGAAATCTTCCCAGGCCTCTAATCATTTTCATTGATCTGTTGCTTGAGACTTTCGGTCCCCGCGCTGTTTGAGCAGGAGTGATCAGAAGTGTGAATTCATAATAATAACAATGATCAGATTTATATCAGACATTATCATATATGTAAATATATTAGATGATTAACTCAGCTCTAATTTTAGCAGTTAGATGTTGCAATCATGACTGTCCTGGAAATGTAATAGATTTAGAGGTACAAGGTCAGAGGGGACTGCAGAGCTAATGTGATGTGATCCCCTGCATAAATACAGGCCTTCAGACCTGTCAATTTATTTGCATCTCAGAAAAGCCCGGCTTTTAGAAAAAAACATCCTTGACTACAAAATTGCCAGTGGTGGTAAATCCTCCGGGTCCTGAAGCGATGTTTTTAACAGGTCGCTGTTAAAAACCCATCACTACGTGGGTTTGCCTAGCTTTGGTTTCAAGCCACCAGACCCTCTTCTGCCATTGCCTGGATGAGGGAGATGTTGTCCTCTTCATGGTCATGCACAGGCTGCCCTTGGTCGTGTGGATCCCTGTCCTGTCACCTTGCTGCTACCATCTCATCCCAGCCTTCCTGCCAAATCCTGGCATCCTGGAGGGGCCCGATGGACGTTCAGGGGGTCAGGAACCAGGGCTTTCTCTTCTCCCCCGGGAGGGAGGGTGTTTCTGGGATGTGAATGAGGGTTGTTTTCCTTTGTCCGCTTCTACTGCTCTGCCCTTCACCGCATCCTAAGCAATTCCTCCCCATAGTCAGACCCTACACTGCTTGCAGACTGCCCAAGACCCTCCTTCTTCCAGATCCTCCACCATGAGTCCAGCTCTCTAGACACCTGTGTGACCACATCCCCAGGCCCATTGCTAGCTGTCACACATGCAGATGGGATCCATCACATCGCCTAGTTGACTTGTATGAAGATGAATCCACCTGAGCTGGCTGTCCTAGGGACACATGGGCATGACTGGGCAGGACCTTGTACTCCCAAAGCAGACAAGGGGTTGAGCCTACAGGTGCCTCTTTCTCACCACATCAGGGACTTCCATGACCGGTTAAGGTGCAACATCCTGTATTGTACATCTGCAAATCCAGGGGATGAATCCTGGGTCCCAACCCATTAGGGCTGTCAGGTTAATGCATTACATGACCATAGGGTGCTGGGGCTGGCTCGCAGGGCAGTCACTGCTGTGCTGCTCTCTTGCACTACAGCAGGTGCCCAGCAGCCCTTCACCAGCAGACCAGCAACTCCTGAACCCTAATGACTTCAGACATGTCTGAAGTCTCCACCTTATTAGTGATGTTTATTAAGAATAGTTAATACTGGATGCCAAAAAAGAAAAAGAAAAACAAAAAGACTTGTATAACACCTAATGCCAAAGCCACCTCTTGGACATGCTGCTGTCCTCCTACAAGTCCTAGGTAAGTCATGGGGTAACACCACTCTTTGCTTACCCTGTGCTTTTGCCCAACTTGTGGCCTTGTTACCAAAAGGACGACCATACAGCTGTGTGAAAGCTGTCTTGAACACCTTCAAGAAGGGTGCCTGGGTTTCGGTGTGATATTCTTGCACAAACAACTTTGCATATCTTTTTCCAGCTCGATGTTTTAATGGCTCCTCTGAACACTTGTCTGGACTGTGGTTCTTCCTCCATGGGCCATTGCATCACACCATCCTGAAAGAGCATCTCATTCCTTTACCCTCCTGCTGGTCCTTCAGCTCCAGGCGGTTTTTGAGTAGTAAATTTGCACTTGGATCCAGTTGCCATCACCAGAAAGGAGGTGGGATAGGGTGCTGGTGTCTCAGAGAAGCTGCTGTAGGATACTTGCTCTCAGTGCCAGAGGTTTGACACTGAGCAGATGCCTCCTGAGCAGCCCCTACAGCAGGGTTCGGATTCAGGTGGGAGAAATGCCGGGTGACTCGCAGGCTTGGTAGCTTGGGTCCACATGGCTCCAAGCCTGGTGTGATCTGTGCTCCAGGAAAGGGACTGAGTTTGCTGGTCACCATCTCAGGAGTACTGCTGGTGTCCCTGGGACTGTCCTTGCCCACTGTGGTGTGCTGTGACTCTGGCAGCCCTGGGCTGGGTAGAGCCCAGCTGCTGGTGTGGTATGGAGGTGGTGTACTGTGAAGCTAGATTTTATTTGAGGTCCCTTATTTTTGCTGCCGTTGCCTTAATTCAGACACTCCTGCTGGAAAAAAGGTGGCAGTGCTCCCTCCCGCACTATCCTCCCTTGCTGCCTGCTGGCTGTCCTGCCTGAGCCGCAGCTGGACCGTGCACTAGGTGCTGGAGGGTGCAGGATTTCCCCGCAGTGTCTCTCTCCTCCATCCATGGACACACACATCCGTCACAGCATCCTCCTGCCAAGGGACAGCAATGCTGACCCTGGCTCCCCAGCTGAAGTCATGCTTGTTTTTGCTTTACCCACATCTCCATTCTCCTGTCCTACATGAGCCCAGGGCCCCTGCATGGGTGACAGTGGGGAGGTGGGTAGCTCTGGCTGGGTCTTTGCACGGCACTAAACAACACAGAGCCCATTCCCCAGCCTGAGGAGCTTAAGAAGGGGACCTGTGTCTGCTAGCTCAGTCCCTAGTGCCCTATGGCTTCCTTTTCTAGCACCTGCAGGTCCTGTACCACCTCTCTGGGGCTCCTGGGGATGCCAGAGGAAAGGTGGCAGTCTCAGAGGTTTCCTCTTCTGGACTGGGAGATCCCACAGCTGCCCACACAGCCAGGGCAATGGTCCAAAGCATCAGCAGTGCAAAACTGGAAGGGTACCACTTGCAAAGTCCTGATGTTTTCATCACACCTGTGGGCAAGGTGAACTTGCCCCACAGGAAGGTTTTTTTTCCTACCTGCGTTTGCTGTGGCCAGCAAGAGCAGAGGAGCAGGGGGCTGGGAGCAAAGCCCTGGGGGTGTCAAGCCATCAGGGAGGCATGTGTGGTCTGTTTTGACATTTCCTCTTGCCAGACAATTAACTGAGGGGTAATTGGCTGTAATTGCCACTCAGGGGTTTAATTGCGCCCCCCCCCTCACCTCCACCCCAGAGACACGTGCAGGAAGCGGAAGGGTCACCAGGAGCATCCCTGTCCCACGGGCTGCGGCTTCTCTCAATTATAACTTCAAAGGCTCCCAGGAGCTTTGAAGCTCGCTCCATCCCAGAACAATTCCCTTTGCATTGAAAATTAAACTCTTATCAGTGCCGTCAAAGAGGCTGCCCCTTCCCCTTCGGTGCCTCTGGTTTCCCAGCTCTCCCCAGCAAAATGCCCCAGTGCCCCAGTGCCCTTCTCTCCCCTCTCCTTGCTTGGCACGTGACCTGCTGGATCAGAGGGAGCCCGATCGGCCCCTTTGCAAATTGCTTTTCTACTGACTAATTAAAACGCTGATGAGATAAGTCAACATATTATTAATAATTATTGTATCGTCTACTTTGATTTACAAAGTCAAACAGGAAATGATTTTGTTCAGACACAGGGTATCTAAGGAGCTTGAATGATGCCTTGCAAAAGCTAATTATAATGGGAGCACCTTGAGTGCCAGAGAAAGGCCTCCCATGCTGCCCACGTCCTCCCTGTCTGCTCCCCACCAGCACCTCCGTGGTCTGGCCCCACAGTGTCCCCCTCTCTGCACGGGCTGGGGTCAGCCCAGAGAGCTGGTGGGCATCTGCCACCCAGGCAGCTGCCCCAACACCTGGCATGCTCCATGTTGGCTTTACTGGCAGGACCACCAGGAAAGACCTTCAGAGGTGGTTTGCCCCATCACTGCCCCTCCGCTCCGGGTAAAGGGATGTATCCTGAGGCCCCTGGGCACAATTAGCCAAGAGTGCTCTTCTCTCATTCTGCAGTAGCTCAGAGAGAAAACTGGCAGAAAGGCACCAGATTTGCTCAAACAACCAGCTGAGAGCACAGACGACGTATTTCTGCCCATAGGATGGTCTCTCAGCAGTGTTTGCGCATCAGGGATGGGGATTTCATGCTGGTGTACAGTGCTGCTGTAAACGCCCTGGGACTGAACTGATTGCAGAGCAAAGCCTACGCAGCGGGGGACTTTTTTTGCCTGGCTCTGGTCCTCCAGCCAACAACCAGCTCATGGCTTGGATGAACCCCATCTGACACGTCAGCTCTGTTACAGAGCAGGGTCCCCCTTTGCCCCAAGCCCAGCTTGCAAAAACCCTGTCCCCAGTCCAAGCTGTGCTGCGTGCTTGCCATTTCAACTCCCTGCAGGGTCATGTCTTTCTCCTTGGAGCACCAAAAGATATTGGGGCTCTCCCATCTGCCCAGGCCATGTCTTCTGCCCTTCGTCACTTTGACGTCCTTGTGCCATTTCTTGGGTTTCTCTTCCAATCCGGAGCCTCTGCCTCGATCCAGGAATACCAGCAAGTTACAGGGCAAGCTGCGGCAAAACTAATTTTCTTTGGAAAAAAAGATGGGTAGGAATGGAACATTGGAAAATAAAGATTTAGACTAGTAATTGAGATAAAAGCTCATCTCTCAGTGCTTGTTCAGTAAGTGCTAGGTTATTGCTAATTCCCCAGACGCTGGTCACTACCAGGAGTTAATCACCTGCAGTGAAGCTCAGGGTAGTTAACTGCCTGACAAATCCCTCCTTAGCCACAGCAGTGACTGATTTCATGGGGATTATCTCCATTAATGCCTCTCATCTAATGATTTATAGCTGCAATAACATCCTTCTCTTTTTTTTCTCTCTCAGTGACAGCGGTGCAAGGGGCCTGGCAGCTCCTGGGGAGGTGCTGTAGCTCAGTGCTTGCTCTTGGGACGAAGGAAAGTGCTGGATGTCTCAGTGGCAGCAAAAGCTTTGCTATGCCAGGCAGACCTGGCCTCCCTCCTGGAAGCCATCCCAGGGCTGGGGAGACCTTGTCCCTTGGCTCCCTCCGTGGGCACCGCAAGGGTGGTGGGAGGCTGAGCTGCTGCTCCAGGGGGACGTGGTCTCTCCTTGCGTGTTTGTCCCCTCTGCTCCTCCTCCTTCTCCTTCTCCCCACTCTGCTGCACCACACAGGCCCTGGGAGACTTCTAAAACCTTGCTTAGCTGCCCAAGTATCTTGTGTTTGCATCTTTCACCTTTTATAATCTGGCAATTTTTTTTATAACTGGTGTTGACTTTAATTTAAACTATTAGGCAAGCCCCTGAATACAGATGCAATCATGTCCCCCCCTCCAACGCGTGCGCTCACCACGTTAATTATGATGTCCTCATTTCCATCTCGCTAGGGGATCTTATCGCAATGACGGGGGCCGGGCTGAGCTTCGTTTAATAAAAGCCACTTCAAACCGTCAGCCGAGAGCAAGGCGATGCCGGGAGGCTGGATGCGTGCACAGTGCCTGCGCTCTTGAACCAATGGTACCCAGCGTCAGAGACTCCCTTCCCTGGCCATAAGAGGCTGTAGTTAAGATGAAACAGAAAAACCCTTCAAGTCGTGGGGATTCCTGAAGCAGTTTCCTCCATCCCAAATGCCTGGCAGGTCCTGGGACCTGGCAGAGCTCGTGGTACCTGTGTTGCCTTGTGGCATGCTGGGAAGATGCACCTGTGGCATCCCAGCCACCAGTTCAGGTGGCCTTCCTTCCCTCCATGCATTTCCACTGATGGCAGAGCACTTGCCCTGTGGGCCAGCGGTAGAGGTGTGGTGTTTTGGGCTAGCCTCAGACTGGGATCCCAAGGTGCTGCGTACGACCCTGGGAAAGAGCTGAGAGTCCAGCTGCTGCGCAAAAAAGCACCAAGTTTGAAAGAGTGATGCTGCAAATGCAAACCCTCCAAGTTCTCCCCTGTGGTTGATGCCGACCATTGCCGGTGCTTGGAGATGGACATTTAGCTCCCTGCTCTCTGCCAGCAGTGAGGATGCTGCCAGCTCTGGCAGTGCCACAGGTGTGTGGGGACCCCGCAGTCATGAGCACCGTCTCCTCAGCCAGATTTGGGAGAGAAGTGAATGTCTGGAGACCCAAAGCAACCACACTAGCTGGAGGCCAAGGCATTTTGGTGCACACAATAACCTCATATTTCCCTTGCCAGACACTCCTGGAGAGCCCCGAGCCCCACAGACATTGCAGAGGGGAGCTGGCTGTGCATGGCGGGGAGCATCCCTGCTCGCCACCCTCAGCTCTGCCCTTGCCCTGCGTGTCTCCTCCCATGCGCAGCTCTGCCTCACTTCCCCCCCGGGGAACTCGGCAGGGAAAAGACAGGAAACAGATGTTGTGTTAATTTGTGCTCAATTAATTTCGACAACGACTTCCACACCTTCCGCAGCGCCACACTGCGTGCACATGTTGATGCAGGAGCGGGGAGCTGGCTGGCTCCCACCGGCCCCGGTGCAGGGGTGTGCAGGGAGCTGTGCTGTGCCTGCTGCTGTACACACTTCAGGGCACCCCTGTACCCCTTGGCCAAGGGGCAGGAGCGTATCCTGGGTGTCACAGCACTTTGTACAGGCTCATTTCTGTGGTTGGGGGAGCTGAGGCATAGTAAGAGGGGTGCTGCTGCTCACCCCTCCAGCAAAGCACACAGGTAGCCTGACCCCTTTCCATGTTGTCTGCCTGAGTGCTGGGGTGCAGAGCCGGTCTTCAGTGATCCTAGGAAGAACCTGGGCATTTCTGGAATTCAGAAGACAATTTTTTTAAAAGAACCAGAAATATTTTGCTCTCCTGGCAGTGGCTTGACTTTCACACCCTCTGCCAGCAATATTCCCCTCTGAATGAGCATTCGTTGGATTTTGCACCTGGAGCTGCTGCCTTTTCTGGGTTGCTTTAAGCTCTTTAGGAGTGAGAAGCGGAGTTTTCTCCTAAATGCAAGATGCTGGGGGAGTTTTGAAGATGCACATCACTGAAATGACTGCTCTCATCACCCTACCACTAGCAGAAGGCACAGTAACACCTGCTCCCCAGGTTAAGGAGGTTAGGTGAGGAAGGACCTTCCCATCTGAGGGGGGAGAAAGGAGCAGGCTGTCTTACAGGTATCACTGATAACCTCTTTCCAGTATCTCTTATGCTCTGGAGGTGTGATACCCTCCCCTAGCCATGCCCTGTCCCTGCAATGCTGGCGGCCACGTAGCGAGGCTGTCGGGTGCCTGTCCCAGCAGATCTATGTTCTCATCAGCTCCCACAGTCACTGGGGTGAAGTTTTCAGGCTCACACCCTCTGAGCTGAGCATCAGGCTCCTTCTCTCAGGGCTGCTGTTGGTTTTGTGTCTGTAATGAAACGCAGGTCACCACTTGCATAAGAAAACACCATTTTTGCCCCATCAGCAAGCCCAGGAGTTTATTTTAATGTACTTGCAATGCTGCTTAAAAGATTTGTTTTCCTGCTCTGTGCACCACTGCTGGAGCTTTGCTTGGCTCCCCCCAGTCCCCCCCAGACAGCACACAGGTAGGCAGGGCATGTACGGTGCCAAGGTGGGGGGCTGCTCCCTGTCAGCTGCCTTCAATGGGGCAGGCAGAGCCGGCAACCCAAGGGAGGTGCAAGCAGGGGGGTGCTGAGGCTGTGGGGGATGATGGTTTGGTAGGCAGAGCAGCATGTGCTGCAGGGGTGCCAGTACCTTCCCCAACTTCTGCAGGGCTGCATCTGGGGCTGCCCTTCACAGCTGGACTTGGGCACGGTGGTGGGACTCAGGCATCTTCAAAGCCTGTTGCTAAGTCCAGGGAAAAGTCAGAAGGTTTGAAGTCCTCCTCTGCTCCTCTTCCTCCTCCTCCTTCTCCCATAAGAAGAATTCAGGGTTCCAGACCCATCCATGGGGGATGTGATTGGGGTGCCTGGTTTGGACAGGGATGTGAGCTGAAGAGGTGGTGGGAAGCCCCCAGAGAAGGGAAGGTCTGTGGGTCCTGATGAGGGGTTGGTGGGGTTGGAGAAGGTGGAGAGGGAGACATGTGAGGCAAGAGCAAGCCCCCAGAAGTGTCCTGTAGCCCCCAACAACTAAGTTCAACTTGTCCCTCAGCTGTGGAGCTCATTTGTATCCAAAATCTCACTACTTCTCATTTCTCATCAGTCAAGACCACCTAACATCCCTCCCTTGGATAACACAAATGTCCCTGTCCCTCTGAACTCACCCAGACCACCCCTCCATTGCAATCCTGCTTGCTGCAACCTGCTTTTGCCCAGCATCTCCTCCCCAAGCTCATCCTGCTGCACTGCTACACTGAATTTTAACCCCAAAGCTGTCAAGCTGTAAGCGCCCTGGAGATCTGACCTCACCTTGCCTGGGAAGAAGGGGGCTCTGAGCCCCCATGGACCCCCCATTTCTTGCTGGAAGTCCTGTGTTCACTGCATGCTTCCCCTTCACCCCATGGTATGCACCCCAAAGCTCATTCTCCAGCTGGAAAGCGGCCTGTTTAGTTTGTGCATGGAGATTGCATGAGTCGGAAGGCACCCAGGTGAGCACCACGTAGGTGCCTTCCTGCTGCTGCTGTGAATGGCAGGTTGAGCACCAAGAAAAGGGACTTGCAGACATGGTCTGGAGGGTTTGGAGCCCTCCCAAAAACACACTGCCATCAGTTTCTGCCATCAAATCAGCCTCGTACAAGCATTCCCATCTATGAACAGGGGTGCACTTCACCCAGCTCTGCATCAGGGTGGGCTGTGAGAGTTACTGCCCAAATTAGTGCTGGGTAAAGTCTGCTCATCCTCATTTTTCTTTGGCCTGTGGCAGCAGTGATCTCTCGTCCAGGCGCAGCTGCAGGAGCAGAGGGAGTTCATCCCGGGCTGGGTGATGGCAGACTCCTGCATGCCCCGTGCTTGCCTGGTGTTCGGGGACGTCTGGAATGACCTGTTCTCTCTCTGTCCCGCAGTGGGATTCAATCAATGAAATGGATGAGTTTTTCAGCCCCATCCACACCTACCAGGTCTGTAATGTCATGACCCCCAACCAGAACAACTGGCTACGGACCAACTGGGTTCAACGGGATGGTGCGCAGCGGGTCTATGCAGAGATTAAGTTCACACTGCGGGACTGTAACAGCATGCCGGGTGTGCTGGGCACCTGCAAGGAGACTTTCAACCTCTACTACCTGGAGTCCGACCGGGACCTGGGCACCAGCACCCGGGAGAGCCAGTTTATGAAGATCGACACCATCGCAGCTGATGAGAGCTTCACCAACGTGGACCTGGGGGTGAGGCGCCTGAAGCTGAACACGGAGGTGCGGGGTGTGGGGCCACTGAGCAAGAGGGGTTTCTACTTGGCCTTCCAGGACATAGGTGCTTGCATCGCCATCGTTTCGGTGCGGGTATACTACAAGAAGTGCCCAGCAATGGTGAGGAACTTGGCGTCCTTCTCCGAGGCTGTGACTGGGGCGGACTCGTCCTCCTTGGTGGAAGTGCGGGGAGAGTGTGTGGGCCATTCGGAGGAGAGGGACACCCCCAAAATGTACTGCAGTGCCGAGGGAGAATGGTTGGTGCCCATTGGGAAGTGCGTGTGCAGTGCTGGCTACGAAGAGCAGCAGGATTCCTGCACGGGTGAGTCCCTGCTTCTTGCTAGCGGTGCCTGCAAGGGGAGGGATGGCTGCAAGGGGCTTTTGCCTCTTTGGGGAAGGGCTGAGCACAGAAGCCTGCTCACAAAAACTTGGACAGCCAGCCTCTGTGGAGGCCAAGGGCTGCCCAAGCCTTTACTGGCCAGCTTCATGCTTCTAAAACGTGTCAGTGGTACCACCAGCAAGCTCCTTGGGAGCTCCTGTGAGCCTTACTGTGACAGGTCCTGGTGCACAGGGCATGGCTTTGGGATGGGGACTGGCTTTGCAATGGGGGCTGGCATCTGGACAGGGGCTGCCCTGGCTTCATCCTTCCCTACCGTGGAGTGTATGGCCCAGAGGTTCCAGCCCGGTGCCCCCTGCAGCTCTGCTGGTGCACTCCAGCAAAGCACAACTGGGCCTCTCCAAAATGCCCCACCGCTCACTTCCCTTTGGCAGGGGGTTTGAAAGCAAGGAATGCAAAAAGAAAAACACTGAGTTTTTGTGAAACAAGGTTATTGCGTCCATCCGTCACCTGGGGCTGCTGCAGAGCCCCACCACCCGGGGGTGCGGAGAGCCTTCCTGGGGGCCCTCTGTGCCGCTGGGCAGATGTCAGGCTGCCGACTGTACAAACTGTGATAAGGAAGCGGGGTGACCAGCAGCAGCCGTGCACCAGGCACGGGGATGTGTGTGTACAGAGCACGGCACTCGGGGCTCCCCAGGAGAGCCCTCCGCACAGATTTGTTTGCTCTCCGTTTCTTTATGGGAGGTGTTTAGGGGAGCAGCACAAATAAGAGTGCGGGATTTTTGTTTGAGTTTTGTGGAAACGTCAAGTGTACCATTTGTCTCAGGGAGACTTGATGCAAGGTTAGGACGTCTGACGCTGGACTGGAACCGATCCAGGTGCCGCTGGGACCTGCGCCGGTGCCGGCAGGTCCCCAGCTACGCAGCGTGGGAAGGACGGGCAGAATAAATGCTTCTATCCAAAACTCCTCTGGCCTGTGACCACTGATTTGAAAGTCGTCCTGGGATAGAATCATAGAATCATAGAATCATAAAGGCAAAAAAGCCGAAATTCCTCCGATGGCACCAGCCCCTGAGCCACGTGTTGATCAGGTGTGTCCTCTGATAGATCTGATAATTCAGAAAGGGTCATCTTCTCCCAAGTTAAAGAGGGGGTGCTAAGTGTGCATGGGGCCAGGCACGTGCTACCATCGGAGGGGGCATTGGCATGGGCTGCCTGGACAGCTGGGTCCCAGCCCCATGACTGCAAGGAGCTGCAAGTTGGAGATTTGGTTCAGAAGGTCCAAACACCCCTTCCCTGTATTCCCCCTCCTGTGGTCCTGTTACAGCAGGCTCTGCCTCAGGAGGTCACCACCTCAAAGCCTGGAGGCTGAGGGAAGCCCTGGCATCAGTGTTGTCCTCAGCCTGCCTCATTTTCCTGTGTTTCCTCAGATATGTTTGTCTCTCTCCTGAGAGCAAAGCTGTGGGAGAGCTCCTTCTCTGCCCTCCTGCCCTTTTCTGGTGGGATTGCCCCTACCCATAGGCATGGCACAGGAGGAAGCGTGGTCCAGCCTGCCTCCCCAGATGGGGTGGACCCAGGCAGAAGCTGGCCCTTCTGCATGCAGGCGGACTCAGACCCATGCTGCTCAACCAGCAAAGCTCTCGGGTGAAGCTCTCCAGGGCTTGTGGCGTCAGAAACAGGACAGAAATGTCACTGGATTTTCTCTGATCTCAGTGTTGTCTCACCCTCCTGCCTTCCCTGTCCCATTTATCCAGTTCCTAGCACGGGGAGTTTGATAGCCCAGCATCAAGCAAGCAGGGGCAGCACCTCCTTCCTAGCATCTCCTTTGGTGGGTGCGTGTGGAACAGGAGTACCTATATTTACACAAGAAAGCAAACAGATGCAAATGTCTGTTCTAAGCTTCTTGTGCTTGACTGGGGCAGAGTTCATTTTTCACGGTGAAAAGTGCCTTTCCAGAATGATTTATAACCCCAGTGGATCTGTTGGAGTTGGAAATTAGCCGTTTTAATTGTCAGGCGGACAAAAGCAGGATTCCAGTGGCTGTCGCCCCAGCAATTTTTCATTCTCCGTCACAGGGATGAGATGATATAAATCACTCCTTGTGGCCCTAATAATCTTTCTATAAATATCAGGGAAATTCATTTTTTGCTTGGGGGGAAAAAAATTAGACAGAAGATACTTTGCCTCTATGGCAGTCTTTAAAATGTGATTCCAAATTAATTTCCTTCCGCCTTTCACAGCCGGACGCCTTATTTGTCAAAGCTAAAGATGTTTGAACAGTGGAGGTTTCTCCCCCTCCTCTTTAATGTTCATTTTTCTAAGGACCTGCCAGAGTGATGGAAGACAGCTCAGGAAACCAGATCATGGCCAGAGCTGTTCCCAGCCCTTCAGAGGAGAAGGGAGGCTGTGCCACAGAGCTGGGAAGGACGGGGTGAGGTGGTACGTGGTGGAGGATGCGTAGGAACCTGGGAACTTCTCTGCCTCTCGTCCCCTTTACTGTCAGCCATCACCTTGGGTGCCCCTTTCTTTGGGCAGGAGGGTGGTGGCTGGGATCTCTGACTCCTTGCGCTTACCTCGGCGGGATCCACACATTTCATCTTGTTGTGATGTCCTGGTGTTTACCATAAGGATGTGAGGGGCAGTTTCCATGGGACTGGGGAGGCCAGATCTCAGCGCAAGGGGAACTGGGGTCAGGACCACGCTAAGGACACCAGCTAGCCTGGCATCAGATGTGTCACAGCCCTGCACTGCACAAGGCATTTGTCCCCCATATCTGTGCCTCATGCATCTGCAGCTTTATCTTCAGAGGCACAGGACCCCCTTTTCCAACTGTGGCTGGGCACGGGTGCTGCAGTGCCTTACTGGGCAGAAACCAGGTTTGAGCATGAATTGCCACAGCTGTTGATGGGGTCCTGGGGTCTGCCAGCTCCTAAAATTCCCAGCTTCTAGTCTGTGGCATCTTCTGCCACAGCCACCCCAAGGGTGAAACCCCTCGGGGTCTTTCTCCCAGGGCAGCACAGCCCTGCTGCCCCACTCATTTTTCCCCTCTGTTTTGAAGGCTCTGAAGAACTTTGCTTCCCTCACCCCTGCCATCCACAGCCAGCCTCGGATGTGCTGCTCTTTCCTCCTTGGAATGTACCAGTCCACAGCAAGACATGTTAGTATCTCTTAAACGCAGCAAATAGCGACTGCCCTGCCTAAATAGCAGACTAAGCAATAGCATAAGTGAAAAGGATCTGTCCCAGCAATTTATCAAATAAGAAGACAATCAGCATAATTCACCTTATTTATATGCAGCTGCTGTACAGGACAAATAGAGACCCATTTCAATAAGGTCAGTGCAATTAGAGAAATGAGAAAGGGGAGCACTTTAACCTTGGGTCTGCTTCTGTGGGAAGGGAAGAAACCCACAAGCCACCTCCTCAAACAGCCGTGAGGCTGAGATCCAGGACATGCGTACCACGTCCTGTGGATGGATAGAGAGGTGGACAGGGAGGCTCAGGCAGGTGAAGACAGTGGCTCTTCACGTACACCCCTCCTACCAGCCCTGGCCAGCCCCTCTTTGGGGAGGGCTGATGGGCTCCTGAGCCACCAAGGCTTTGGGGCTGTGACCCTTGCATTGGGGTCAGCCTTTTGGGGCAGATCTGAATTATTGCTTGGGCTGTGCCTGTCACCAGCTGTCAGTGAGCAAAACTGGAAAGTTGGGCTAAAATCTGTTCAGCTGATTGTGAGTTGTACATGTGCAGAGACTCAGTTTGGACCATTGGTAGCAGTGCCACGGCTACGGATCATGGTGCTGCTCTCTGGGAGCTGACACAAACCCATCCATCCAGCTGCCAGCCACGGACACCCTCCAGGAGCGCAGAATCTCCCAGGAAGCTTTTTCTTTAACAAACAAATGAAAAAGGGTAAAACAGCCACCTTCCCTGCTGTCAGAGCGGGTGGATGAGCCTTTGGCAGAAATGCAGTTCCCAAAGAGCATCTTTGCGGTATATCCATGGGTTTCAGGAGTGGGACTCGCTGTTCAGACATTTTTGTCAAAAGTTTGGGACCAGGCATCTTAGCCACCGGGTGTCCTGATTGCTCTGGCTGCTTTCCTCCTGTGGTGCTCAGGGGCTTCAGTTTGGCTGTTGCCTTTGGCTGGAAAACAGTGATGAGGGAGCAACAATTAAGCAATTGCTGCTCCATCAGCCCATTTGCAGATGAGGACGGGTGTTTGTAGCCTGCCAGGGCTGAGTGATAACAGCTACCGAACAGGGGTCTGATGTGTGTGGCTGAATGAGGATCTGGCCCTGGGGTAGACTTCATCCAGCTCTGCTTAAGCTGAAAAAATGGCCTGTGTCCTCTGGACAAGGAGAAGAGAAGGAAGCTGTCACTGCTGGGACCCTTTCCCCTCCAGCTCCCAAACTGAAGGAGAGGTGGGAACAGGAGAAGGACTGCTGGCCCCTCATGGACAAACCCCTCTGCTGCTGGGCTCTCTTGTGCCTCCTGTGGCACATGGCTGGTGGAAATGGATCTGGAAAGTCTGGTTAGCAATCTGGAAGCCAGTTAATTTTTTCCAGTTGGTGGGATTCATGCTGATGAACCAATCAGCAAACTTAATGTACCTTAAGCCTTCCTCGTGGGCAACTTTAATCGAGCAATTAAAGCACCACGGCATTGCTAATTAAGAGGAGAAAATACCCAGCTTGGTAATTATGTGCTTGTGAATACAGTTTTGCATCCATGGACCTTTAAGAAGAAAGTCAGTGGAGACTGACTTTCCAGCTGGGGGGAGCAGAGCTATATGGTGTGAGAGGAGGGGAAACCCCACCCAGCTGCACCCCATCACCCATGTACCATGCTGGTGGGCACAGCCCTAGCCACACAGGGTCAGGGTAAGCCCTGGAAACACCAGGGGACAAAATGACACAGGTGAAGCCATTGGCAGGGGAAGCCAGGTCAGAGACATGGACTCCAGCTGTGCTGGGCTGGGCAATGACCTG